GGCCTGTCATACAAGACAGGGTGACCCTGACCGACCTCTGCATTATACCTAAACAATTAATTAAGGGAAAGAAATGTCATTATCAGATGGGAGGAAACTTAAATGTGCATAGTCTCCAAAAGGTGTGAACATTAGGCAATTTCCATGTGAGTGCCAATTTCACCACATTTGCCTTTCATATCAACACCTTCTTTTACAGCTCAAGGACACTAGGACTTCATTTTTCTACTTTTATAAAATGTTTCAACTTTGCCATGTTCTATTTTTTTTAGAGAGAGAGATTGTTTAAAAATAATTATTTATTTAATTTTGTTTATTTATTCATTTATTTTAATTTGACCAGAGAGAGACACACACATAGAGAGAGAGGAAAAGAGAGAAAGTAGGCCACCAGGTCCAGGATTCAAACCATAGTCAGCCATGTGGGAGTATCCAGTGCCTTAATCACCACACCACCTTTAGGTTCCCTTAGAGAGAGATTTTTACTATAGGGTGTTTGTGCTTGCCAGAGAGACCGAAAGCGAGAAATCACTCCCCAGGGGCCACGCTGCAATACCTTCTCCATTTTTTCTGTCAAGATCTTAAAGCATGCATGCACATGTGCCTGGCGTAAGTTTTAAGTTGTCAGGTCCAGGACTCAAGCTGCAGTCGACGCCGTGGGAGTCCAACGATGTAACCATTATACCATCTGCTGGTTCCTCCATTTTCTATTTTTATTTCTCTGTTTATGTAATGAGTTGCAGAATTTTCACTTTCCTAACAAGAAATCTATCAGGAAATATGTAATAGAAAGGGGCTCCAGGTGGCCCAGCAGTAAAGTGTGGTGTTTTGCGAAGGAGGCACACGGAGTAGCCAGAGTTGGGTCTGGAGACGCTTGGAGTTCACCAGGCATGTGTATACTGGTGCTGACTGAAGCTGGGTGTGGATTGCAGTGTCAAGTTCCCCTGGGGAGGCTCTCCCTCTCTCTGTCTCTTTTGTTCATGGAAGCAATAAATAAACAAACTTTATTTTTAAAAGAAAGAAAGAAAGATTTAGCCTGCAAAAAGGAGTTCTTACATATTTCCAAAGATGAGCTTTTTTCCAAATGAAAATATAGTAATTTCCAAAGATTACAGACTTAAATTCATAGATACATATTGATAGATATTAGAAATGGAAAAGACCTTAAGGGTCACCTTAGTTGCCCCCTTTTTGTCAAAACAGTTTCATTTAAAAAAAAAAATTCTTTCTTTCTTCTGAGAGAGAGAGAGAGAGAGAAGAAATGAGAGCTATGGAGACTGGCCCCCCAATATGCCACACTCAGCCAGCATGGGTCATAAGCACATGTGTGCCCCTTGTGCTCAGGGAGGTCCTGGGATGAAAACCCCCAACCTTCTGCATGTGGGTCCACTGCACCACTGCCTGGCTCCACAACTTTGTTATAGGGAAGATGACGGACATGCAGGGTCAGCTGGGTTCTTATGGCTGACTGAAGGGCTCGTACATTCTACCAGGCCAGAGCTTATGCCAGGTAAATTTTCAGCCAAATGTCTTCACATAAATAAATTCAGATGTTAACGTTCCCTTAGTTATTTACATTTTTAAACTCTGAGGTTTTAGTTTGCTAAACTAGCTTACTATACTTAATGGAAACTTAATTTATTTTGGCAAAAACATCTTTGATTTTAAAAGACAACTATTGAGGCCAGCAGTTGACATAACGGTTAAGGTGCTGGACTCCCACATGACTGACCATGGTTGGAGTCCTGGACCTGATGGCTTGTGTGTGTGTGCTTGCCTCAAATTCCAGGAGGAGAGTGGAGGAGAAGGGATTACAGCATGGCCATTCCCTTCTGGAGGATGATTTCTCACTTTCCCTGTCACTGTCTTTCTCTGGTGAAAACTTTAAAAAAAAAAAATGCAGGTTTGGGGCTAACTCCATAGACTAGTGACTAGAAAGCTAGTTACCACATGGCTGACCATGCAATTTGAATCCCTGCCCTGGTGGCTTGAAAAACACACCGATAGTTTGTGCACATGTGCTCAAAATCCCAACAGGATGGAGAAATGGAGGATGGAGGAGGAGGGATTGCCTCACAATCATGCCCTATTGGGGAGTGCTTTCTATCTCACTCTCTCTCTCTCTCAGCCTCTCTCTCTCTATCTCTCTCTCTCTCTCTCTTTTGAGCACACATCCTCTGGCAAAACCAAAATAAAAATACTACAGGTTTGTTCTTTTCCTCCCACAAACTCCAGCAGTACTTACTCACATATATAACCTATAATTGGCATGCACAGTACTATCTTTGCTTAACGTGTTGCTTTGCTTGAACTGCAAATCATTTGTAAGTGATCATTTAAAAGCCATCCTTCTCCCAGGCAGTATCTTATTTTCCTTGTCTGTGAGTTATTGTAAAAAATAATCCCATTTAGTTACCTTTAAAATCCAAATTTCTCATGAATTCATTGGTGTTATCTTCAAATAGTATACATTTGTGAAATGATCCTACGTATTTTCTGTTTGGATATTCCATCCTGAATTTGCATAACGCTCAGCACAAAGTCAGAACTTGCACAAGTGCAGTGAAATAACATACAAGGGAAGGAGAGGTATTCAAGCAACAGTGTTACTGAAGGCAAAGATGTTGAACAGGTGTGTTAATTTTTGCTATACAGGTGTGGAAAAGATACTACACCATTTTTTATAGTATTGCTTTGTGATGGTTACCTCCAGCCTTTCAGGTTTACATATGCAAAACTTTTTCATCATGCACTCTCAAAACATGCATCTCATTTACTTACAAATTACATATATGAATGATCTGATCTTTCAAGGCACATTATACTCAGGGTGAGGCTTTTCATTTTTCATAGTCTTGCATAACATTGTAGATAATAGTCTTCTGATCATTTTTCTTTTCTGGCCAAGTGCTTGTCAGATTCAATTAAATTTGTCATTGCTTTTACCTTGTAATGTCAGTGTTGGAAAACTTTTAGTAGGAGTACAAGTTTTAGCTCGGTGGCTTATGTTTACATTCCTATTAATGGTATATTTCATCTATGGGTTCCTTGCATGAACCTTATTCACTATAAGGTTCTTTTGGTTTAAAAGAACATATTAGAATCTGCACATTGAATTAGCAGACCCATCACTGTAGGTTTAGTGCACTGTAAGGGAATGAATGGGAAGAGCAACGCCCATCCCACCCCCAGTACTATAGAAGTTTCATTCTTCCATGAAGGCGTCTTGTATACTTATATGATAAGCAGATTGGACAATCCAGCCCTGTGGGGATTGAGGTGGACAAAGATCAGTTCTTGGTCCATGAAGAGTACAGGAGTGTGGTTCTGATGCTTTCATTTGTTTTGTTTTGTTTTGTTTTGTTTTTGATGCCACATTGATGAGATGTCCATAAAGGAGAACTAACAACTGGTCCCAAGAAGTCTCTAGAAGGAGAAAGAAGCAACCAACAGCTATTCCGTTCTCTAGAGGAGCTATTGAGTCATCGGAAAAGTCATGACATGTTTTTCCAAGTTTTTCTGTGCAAAAATATGTTGTGACTTTTCCGACGACTGAATATATCATTCACCCGATGGAACCAGAGTGTCCCTAATCTCTGTTGCACAGCAAAGGGAGCTTTACAGAAATGGAGATCTTTTAAAATCCCTGGGGTGGGACCAGCCATCTACATTTTATTTTCCCTTTACAAGCAAGACACAGGGGAAGTGAGAGGGAAAAGGAGAGAGCGACAGAGATTGATGCTCCTGAATCTTGCTTTGTGGTGATCATCCTGCCCCGGCTTCTCAATTAGCTAGGACTACTGGCACACAGCCATACTCAGCATGTTCAGGAACTGAATCCAGGCCTCCCACATGACTTCCAGGTGGTGGTGCTACCTGTGCCCAGGCATCTGTGTTTTTAAGAATTCTCTGGTAATTTCACTGTATAGTCAGAGATGAAAGTAAGCTAGCCGGGTCAATAGAAGGAAAATTTGGGCCAATATTTAGTGTATTCTGGATGGGAAAATTAATTCTGTATGCTGCAATGATATATAGTGAATGAATTAAAGGAAATAAATTTTAAAAAATAAATAAGTCCTAAAATTAAAAAAAGAAGAAGGAAAATAAAATGTAGAAGCTCATTAAAGATGAAGTGGCAAGAAAGATATCCTTGATAACATAGCTGGCAAAAGCAGGACAGTTACATAGCTTCAAATTGAGATAATAAAGATATTTTATTTCCCTGGACCACTTATTGATTATACAAAACTGAGGGTTGAGATGTTGGCAGAGACAATCTAAGATTTTTAACTGCTCTAAGAATGTCCGAAGGTCAGGACAAACAGATGACATAGTGGTTATGTCACTGGACCCTGACATGGGCAACCACAGTTCAAATCCAGACCCAGTGGCCTGAAACTCTAGGCCCATTTGTGTGAGTGCCCAAGATCCTGAGAGAAGAACTGAGAAGGGATTGCAGCATGGCTGCCCCCCTGGGGGGTGATTTCTCACTTTTCTTCTCTCTCTGTCTATCTTTTATCTTCCTGGCTAGGGCACACACCCTAAGGCAAAAACCTCTAGAAAAAAAAAGAATGTCCAAAGGACTTTGAGGCCTTTTGGCTTTGGAGGTTTGTAGGCTTATTTATGAACATCTCTAATCTTAGGTGATCTTCTGGGGCCTTTGACCTGTGGCTATTATGCTTATATGCACACTTACAAATGCATGCTCTCATTTAACTAAGAATACCTTATACCTTTTCACAGAACTTTATACTTAGAAGGTTAATTTGTTATAGAGATGTGCTAAGACTCTTGACCAAAGAAGATAAAGTGAATCTGTCTTAATCTGAGCAAGTCTTTTGATCTTTATCACATACTACTTTGCTTGTCTTGAGCCAGCCAGAAGGGCAGGAAGCCTTCGTTTCGGCTCCTCAGTGTCATGATCTGGTGAAGCACGTTCCACCCTGTGAGTGTTTCCTGAGCATTTGTCAGCCACCCCTGCACCTTTGCTTTTGTCGTAGGAAGCAGTGCAAGTATTGATTAAGCACTCGGCAGATGTCAATGCAAGGGACAAGAATTGGCAGACCCCCCTCCATGTGGCAGCAGCCAATAAGGCCGTCAAATGTGCGGAAGTGATCATTCCTCTCCTGAGCAGCGTCAATGTCTCCGACCGAGGTGGGCGCACAGCCTTGCACCACGCGGCTCTCAATGGACACGTGGAGGTGAGTGTTCTCATCTGTGGAAACTAGAATGCTCCTTATACACCCTCTTAGCTACAGTGGAACTCGATCTTATTGTCAAGACTTTTAGAGCATGTGGTGATAACACTTGTACACCAAACCTTAGGCAACTATATTTATTCTTAAATCTAGAGCCACAATGAATTGAAAAAATAGGCTGTCACTACTGTCTTTTCCTCCCATATGTATACCATAGGGTCTACTGTGACATCGTCTTCCTGCTTTCTTAGAACTCCAGCTCTCTGACTTGGCTTTAGACTTGATATTAATTTGACTTAGATGACCTGCAGCCAAGGGGGGAACCTTCACCATTACAGAACATATGCTTCATTTCATTGTTGCTATCTTTCAGATGGTCAATTTACTCTTGGCCAAAGGGGCAAACATCAATGCATTTGACAAGAAGGACCGGCGTGCTCTGCACTGGGCAGCATATATGGGTAAGGATGAAATGCCTGAAAAGCAAAGTGTACATAATCTTGACTATTGTCACAAGCCAGGGATCTCTTGTTGACTGCGTGGGTTTTCTCGTTGACTTCTTTTCAAGCTCGGCTTTCAATTAAATGAAGATTCTGTTCATTTTGCTGCTACGCATAGAGTACCCTAGTTAGGTAGTTTCTCTTTTCTTACCGTTTTGGCTTTGTTAGAGATGTATTTATCCTACGAAGAGGAGGAGGGATAAATCATGGCCTGGACCGCTCTGAATGTGCTTCAGCCTGCATTGGAAGGCTTACCACAGTATGCTTATTTGAATTTGTCAAGGCAGCAAAATAGGTGTTTTATAAAAAAGGAGGACTGACTAGCATAGCAAGGATACAAATTCCATTTGCCTTTTTATTTATTAAAATTTTTGAAAGGAACAAAAAGCAGGGAAGAAAGGACAACCCCCTGGCTATTTGTTTGTTTGTTTGTTTGTTTTATTTTGTTTTGGTTTTTTTTTTTTTTGGAGAGGTTTTTGCTATAGGGTGCATGCGCTGGCCAAATTTTGGTTTCTTAACTTTTTGCCTTTCTGAATCCTTTTTCAATAAGTATAAATTCCTCTTGTCATTATTTTTAAAATTAACATTACTTATAGAGAGAGAAGAAGGGAGTGGGTTGGAGCAGGTATAAAATCACTTACGTAGCTATGGGTCGATCTGAATGAATCCTTGGGCTTAAAAAGCCAGAATCTTGGGACCAGCAGGTGGTATAATGGTTACATCACTGGACTCCCACCTGGTTGACTGCAGTTTGAGCCCCACATCTGGTCGCTTAAAACACTTGCCAGGCTCATGTGCAGGCGTGCCCAAAATCCCAAGAGGAGACTAGAGGAGAAGGAATTGTGGCGTGGTCATCCCCCTTTGGCAGTGATTTCTTGCTTTTTGTTTCATTGTGTGTCTCTCTCTGTCTCTCTGGTGAGTATATGTGCCCTATAGCAAAAATCTCTTTAAAAAAAAAAAAAGCCAGAATCTTAAAATTTTATGTATATTAGCTTTTAAAAATAATTTGGGAGAGATTTTTGCCACAGAGCATGTGTGTTCATCAGAGAGACAAAAAAAGACGGAGAGAGAAATCACATCCCAGCAGGGATGACCACACCACAGTCCCTTATCCCTTCTCCTCTGGACATTGGGCATGCCTGCACATGCACCAGACGTGAGTTTCAAGCCATGGGGTCCTGGACTTGAACCATGATTGGCCATGTGGGAAGCAAGCACCTTAACCACTACCCCACCTGCTGGCCCCACATTAGCATTTTTGTTTTAAGGTGACATGGATTTTGAATCTGCTGAAGCAGATTAGATGTCTTCATGGTACCTGAAGGACGGGTGGAATGCTTGCCAGGATATAGATGTTTAGGCAGGACATGTGCTAAGCTAGCATAGGATAGGACTCAAAGAATCTGGGGTTTCCTGTTTGTCACTTACTGATGTGTGGTTAAAAAGTTATGGTAAATGACTTCAAAAAAGTAAAGTCATCTTTTTGTGTGTCATCAGAATACAAATGGGGAAAAAAGATATAGATGACTACCCGTAGAGAATTATTGCAAAAAACCACAACAAATAGCTTGAGATAGCACCACTGGTAACTGAAAATAATTTTTCTATGTAAGATCTTGAGAAAAAAAGAGTCAAATTTTAATAAAGTAAGCCAATACTGTGAACATCCCCTCACCTTGGCCCAACATATGTACACATATTTTTGGTCCTGTACTTGTTTTCTAACCTTTAGTTGTCGACCGTATTTACAGCAATGACCCTGAAACATCGAACAATCTTTGTGAAGTAAAGTTCAAACACATTCATCACATTATATATAGTGAGTTAGAAAAGAGAGTAAAATATTCTTTAAAAAAATGCCAACAAAATTTGAAACTAGGAGAGTTTTCTGGCTAGACACTAATTGATGTGTACTTGTTTTCTAACCTTTAGTTGTCGACCGTATTTACAGCAATGACCCTGAAACATCGAACAATCTTTGTGAAGTAAAGTTCAAACACATTCATCACATTATATATAGTGAGTTAGAAAAGAGAGTAAAATATTCTTTAAAAAAATGCCAACAAAATTTGAAACTAGGAGAGTTTTCTGGCTAGACACTAATTGATGAAGACACTTTTTTTTAGAGAGAGATTTTTGCTATAGGGCACATGTACTTGCTGAAGAGATAGACAGAGAGACAGAAAGTGAGAGAGCACCCCTGGGGGGAAGGCCACACTGCAATCTCTTCTTCCCCATTCTCCTCCTGGGAACTTGGGCACATACACACGTGCACCCAGAGTGAGTTTTAAGCCACCATGTCCAGGACTTGAACTGTGGTCGACCACCTGGGAGTCCAGTGAAGTAGCCATTATGCCATCTGCTGGTCCCTATGAGAACACTTTAAAGTTGAGCCATATGAAGATGCCATTTTTGTGGATCAAAAACAGTTAAAGGGACCAGCAGTTAGCGTAATGGCTATGTTGCTGGACTCCCATGTAGTTGACCGCAGTTCAAGTCCTGGACCCGGTAGCTTAAACTCATGCTGGGTGTGTGTGTGTGTGTGTGCCCAAGATCCCAAGAGGAGAATGGAGGAGAAGGGATTGTAATGTGGCCATTCCGCCTGGGGGGTGATTTCTCACTTTCTGTCTCTCTGTCTCTCTCTGTTTGTCTGGCGAGCACACACGCCCTGTAGCAAAAACCTCTCCCCAAAAAAAAACAAAAAACAAATAAAAAAAATCAGTTAAACAAAAGCAACATCGTACGGCTTAACAATGATCTGAGGTCATTCTGATTAACTGGTATTTTCTTTTATCAGTTTTTCCAAACCAAAGTGTCATTATTGAACTTTTTCCTAAGGAGTAGCAATCATTTTCAAAAGTATTGCCTTTTTAAGGCCAAGATACTAATGTATTGGCAAGACCTCATTATCTATTAATGTGGTGACAAATGTCACCTCTACTAGATCTCTTTGAAGAGAAGTTCACATAGGAATAATCTTTTATCTTCTCACAGCATTTTCATAATGTTAGATACATAGTAGGTACTCAATAAATATTTGTTGAATATTTGCTATGCACCTTTTTTGTAAATTATTTATTTATTTTGTTATAATTATTTTGAAGTTTGCTATCAGGTATGTGTGCTCAACCGAGAGACAGAGTAAGAAAGGGAAAGTGAGAAAATAGCTACCAGATCTGGGACTCAAACCACAGTTGGCCATGTCAGAGGCCAGTGCCTTAACCACTATGTTACCTGCTAACCCTGCACTAGTGTTTATTTATTTATTTATTTATTTATTTATTTATTTATTTATTTATTTAATTTATTATATATATATATATATATAAATAGCTCAGCAAGATACTGCTGGCAATAAAAGCTAATAGTAATGGTTTAGGTGAAATGAATTGTCAAATTGTCCTATAAAGCTTAATGATGTTTTCTGCTGCTTTGTTTTTAAAGGCCACCTGGACGTTGTGGCACTGCTCATTAACCATGGTGCAGAAGTGACCTGTAAGGATAAGAAGGGTTACACCCCTCTGCACGCTGCAGCCTCCAATGGACAGATCAATGTGGTCAAGCATCTCCTGAATCTGGGGGTGGAGGTAAGCTATGGTTAATGTATCACTGCATGGCCTGTGTATTTGTAGGTTTTCTGTTGTGTCAAACTGTATCCTGTTTGCATTTTGATTCAAGTGGGAAAAACTTATTTTCAAGCATCCTTTCTGTATTTTATAGACAACTGATAAAGGGCAATGGGGAAATAGACTAAGTAGTGGAAAACCAGAAACTGAATTAATTTTCTATAATGTATCAACACAGAGAAATATATAAATGTATACATTCTAGATAATACATATTAGTTATTTCTTTTTAGACTACATTAATTTTTATTTATAATTATTATTGTTCTCCAGTTTGTTGCAGTGCACACTTTCTTACCAGAGAAAGACAGGGAGAGAGGGAAAGTGAGAAAACAAGCTGCCAGGTCTGGGACTTGAACTGTAGTTGGCCATGTAGGAGTCTAGCATCTTAACCACCACGTCACCTTCTGACGTATTTTAAAGAGTGGCTAGTGTTCCTCGTCCCACCTTAACAATCTAGCCTTTTAATGGTAGCTTCCAGTCCCAGTTAGTGAGTGGATTGCAGGGACCAACAGAATTGTCTAGTGATGTGCTGGAGAAGTCGGCCCATCCCATTCTCCTTCAGCTAGCAGAACAGGAGGTGTGGTGGGACCCTGAACACCCTGCCCAGAGGGGAGGAAAACCATGTTGCTTTCCTGAGATCACAGTGGTGATACCCAGCATCTGGGACAGATCTCAGAAAGCAGCAGGGAATCATGGACCAAACACACCTCAGGATGGGGCCCCAAGGCTGCTGCTAGAACAGTCTGACGTGTCAGACCCCAGAGCAAAGCCCAGAGTGGGTTCAGAGCCTGACTCTATTGGCTACTTGGCCACCTCCCCTGCCATCCTCCAGCCTTTGTGTGTGTGTGTGTGTCCACTGTGCCCCTTGAGTTTGGAACTCTTTTCTTGCTCTCTGGATTCACTGCTCTTCTGGCATTTTATTTTCTTACTAATTTTTAATTTTTTAATTTTTATATTACATTTAATTACATACGTCTTTACAGTGTATTACATTTTTTTTTCTCTTCTGGCATTTTAAAAGTAGCTTTGCTTTCTACCCTTTGGCCTTTCCTAGCTGAAAAATATCTCTTTAGTGGTTGAACCTTCTGACTCTTCCTCTCCAGTTCACTCTTTGTCACATTCACTTTCTGCTCATTTTTAGCTCAGAGCAGCAAACATTCTTGGGATGACCGTGCAGGGCAAGGATAAGCTCTGAATAATTATGTTGACGGATGGATATTTTCTTTCTCTATCCACAGCCATTAGGCTTTTTTTGTGGAAATCGGAGTAAATTGGCTGCAGTGACTTTAATTGCTTTGTGTTGGACTCTTTTGCAGATTGATGAAATCAATGTCTATGGAAACACGGCACTTCACATCGCCTGTTATAATGGACAGGATTCTGTCGTTAACGAGCTGATAGACTATGGTGCTAACGTGAACCAGCCAAACAACAACGGGTTTACCCCTTTGCATTTCGCTGCTGCCTCCACTCATGGTGCTCTGTGTCTGGAACTGTTAGTCAACAACGGAGCAGATGTTAACATTCAGGTATGCACAGTCTCTGTGTTAAATGCCTTTGTATTGGGCCTCTGTTTGAGCAAAATCAACTGCTGTAAATTATGCCATGTTTTACTGAATTGTAATCTGGAACACCGTGAGTTACAAAGCTTTATCTTGGAATAGGGTGCTATGGAAATAGCGGTGTTGTTTCTCCAGGAGTGGCGGTACCAGCTGGAAGGCATTGAGGCTCCAGCCATGTGTCATTGGTAGCTGACTGAATGTTCCAGAGAAAATACTGGATCTCAAGGATGTTGACATAGTCCAGATTCTAATACTGAGGTGAATGTTGAGCTCACAGGACAGAATGGCTGGGAATTCAAAGAGAAACCTAGTTCCCATCCCAGCATGGTCATCCAAGGAATTTCTCAAATATGTTCCTAAACCAAACCCCAGAGGGTAATGTAGGACTGACCTGGTTCTAATGAACATCCCTTTATTCAGCAAACTTACTAAGGACAACCTAGTGCCTCTATTTGGTACTAGAGTACTCCAAGATGATATGTAATCTCTGCCCTCAAGGAATTTATATTATCAAAAGGAGATAACCTGCACTCAGATAATCATGAGGTAAAAGAGAATGTGTGGAGCGCCATGAAAGGGTAATAACTGCACTCTAAGAGGCAAGTATGGGCTTGCCTCTTACTTGGGGATCAAAAATGGAGGTTGAGTTTGAGCTGAGGCTCAGAGAGTGGTATCAGCTGAGATGAGGGATACAGATCATTTGAGAGTGGGTATTCCAGAAAAAAGAGAAAAGCATGTACAAAGGACTTGGAGGTGATGACTAGAAAAAGCTCTGGGAAAACTTTAGGTAACTGTCCGGCCTGCTGTGATGCCTGACCAAGGGGATCCTGTGCAGGTAGTGCTCTGGATCTGGGTTCTGTCACTTGAGTGCATTTAGATTGGAGCAGAATATCCTACCTGTACCAGGAGCTTGTTACTCATCTTCCACTTCCCTTCTTCCAAGCACACAGGACTTTTGAAGCAAAGTCTCAGCATATTCTACCTCTAACTTTGAAAAGTTATTATTTTTGAAGATTTAATTTGAAGACTATCTCACATCAGTCTATTTTCATGAACTTCTCTTTTCACTATTAAAATATTTTTTTTCTAATAATGGTGAAAAGTGGGACAAATGTTCAGAATAGCAATTTATTATGGTTTGACAGAGTATAAGTTCCATGGAAGAAGAGAGCTAAGAATAAGTCAAAATGTCACATGACCAAAGATAAGGCTCATCTACGGGCTTACTAATTTGAGCTTCTATAGCAATGAGAGCTACTAATCAGTATAGAGGTCATATGATCAGACTTGAATATTAGAAACAGTTATCTGGGGACCAGCAATTGGCGTAATGGCTATGTCGCTGGACTCCCATGTAGTTGACGGCAGTTCAAGTCCTGGACCCAGTGGCTTAAACTCATGCCAGGCGCGTGTGCATGCATGCCCAAGATCTTGAGAGGAGAATGGAGGAGAAGAGATTGTGGCATGGCCATCCCCTTGGGGGTTGATTTCTTACTTTCTGTCTCTCTTTCTCTGTCTTTCTGGTGAGCACACATGCCCTATAGCAAAATCCTCTCCAGAAAAAAGAAACAGTTATCTGGCCACAGAACACCAAAGGCAGAAAACATATAGGGGAAAAAAATCGTATGTGTAACTACATAAAAAATTATTCTATGGCAAACTAAAACAATAAAAAAGGGGGAGTCCTGCAAGCTCTAACATAAAATTGATATGGGAACAACTCAGGGCAATGTTTCTGGACATGTATAATGCAAGAAAAAGTTAATATGCTTAATAAAAATCTCACTCAAATCAATAGAAAAAGTCTGATAATCTCCTAGAAAATATAGGCAAAGGTAGATCACAAGAGAGAGAATACAATATAATAAGCCCATAAAAATATTCAGTTTCACTAGTAATTAGAAAAATGAAAATAATACAAAAATATATATTTTCCTGTAAAATAGGCAACTATCCAAATGATAATACCCAACATTAACAATAGAACTGCAATAAGTAAGTAAGATGTCATTTTGAGGAGCTTTTTTATTGCCAGAGGGCATGTACACCCCCCTCCTCCAGAGGGAGATGGAGAAACAGAGAGAGAGAGAGAGGGAAAAATTACTCTCCGAAGAAGCATGATCATTCCACAGTCCTTTCTTCTCCGTGTCTGCATCCTGTTGGGAATTTAGACAGGCATGAATATGTGCTTGACATGGTTTTAAGCCTCTAAGATTGGGATTCGAGTTGTGGTCAGCCAGGTAGGATATGACTCCCTTAACCACTGGCTACAGAGCTGGCCCATCATTTTTTAATTTAAAAAAGTCTCTATGTAGAAAAAGGAAAAAAAAAATATCTGTAGTATGTACCAATATTTAGCAGTTCAGGAAGACAAAATTATAACTTGTGGTTTTAGTTGTTGTTGTTTCGTGTTTATAATTATTTTATTTTTCATCATTATCATCATTATTACTATTTTTAATTTCCCCTGTAGGGCATATACACTTACTGGTGAGACTAGAGAGAAAGTGAGAAAGTAATTTGCCAGATCTGAAACTTGAACCACAGTCAGCCATGTGGGAGTCCAGCACCTTAACCACCACTCCACCTGCTGGCTCTATCTCTGTGTGTGTGTATGTGTGTGTGTGTGTGTGTGTGTGTGTGTGTGTGTGTGTAACTCCTTTCTTGTATATATCTTCTGATTGTTATGCAATGGACATGTGTTATTTTTATATGCAGAAGAAAAAAAAGAAAACATTTTCATTTTGGGAAAAAGGAAATTCAGGCATAGTGGACCCAGAGAGGGGCTAACTAGGAGTCGATGAAATTGGAGACCAGCAAATGGTGTGGTGGTTAAGGGCGCTGGACTCCCACATGGCTGACTGCAGTTTGAGTCTCGGACCTGGGACTTTCTTTCTCACTTTCTTTCTCTCTCTCCCCTTCTGGTCAAATTAAAATAAATAAAGTTAAATAAAACAATTATTTAAAAATAAAAAAGAAGTCAATGATACTGGTCTGGATAAACACAGTACAACATAGAGGTTATGTGTCCAGTTCTGGGGCTAGACTGCTGAGATTCCAGCCCTAGTCTTGACTTTTAGTAACTGCACGACCGTAAACTGTGTGTCTCCATTTGTTTATCTGTAAAAGTAGGGAGACGATAGTGTCTTCATCAAACTGTTGGGAGGGTTCAATGGACTTACTGCACATAAATTACACAGAACAGTGTTTGCCACATGGTTAGCATTTGATAAATGAGTATTATCATCAACATTTATTAAGAGGGATACCAAGAGGAAGAACAGGCTTAGGAGGTAAAACTAATGAATTTACATTTTTGAAAAACTAATTTCGAGCCTTGATACAGGCAATCTGAGAAACCTAGTAGTGGAAAATGTGATATTCTAGCATGGGTGGGCAGTAGAAAATAGGAGAAAAAAAATCTGCATCACCTCAGTCCCATAAAGGTGATGGTTGAAGCTGGGAGAAAAGGATGAGATTGCCTGAGTAGCGAGTACCACATAAGATGAATAGAGAAGGAGGACTCTCATAGGTCTTAGGATCCCAAGGAAGAGGAAGAGCAGAAGAAAGGATGAAAAACAAAAGTGAGAGAAGATAGGAAGGGAATGAGTGAAGGGAATGTAGTCTCCTCATGAAGGTGAAAAGCAGGCAGACATGAAAATGAAGCCTAGATGGACTGCAGTGGTCGAGATGTAAGTGGGGCCCATCGGGCATCCCTTTGGAAGGTGTGATGAAGTCTGTGGGGCCATCAAAGAGACAAGGAACTGTAGACAAAGCGGGCAGAGTCTTTGTGTGCAGGCGAGTCTCAGAAGATGATGGTGCAGATGCAGGACACATACAGGTGGCCAAGTAGTCAGTGTCCCCCAAGACCATAGACTTCTGTCTTGCCATCCTGATTATTGGGAGAAGTCCTGTGAATCCTTAAAAGGAAGGAAAATTACTGAAGTTAAAGTAGCTCTCTTTACCTACCTCCACTTGGTGAATTCACAGAGCTGTCCGATGCCCTCCATGACCTCTGTATAATGCGCCATGAATGCCCCCAGTGTCCCCAATACCGGAGACACTAGAAGGCCACTTTCTGGCACATCTGCCTACTTCTTCCAGTTAACTGGTTAGTGGTCACTTCCAGTCGGATGACGAACTTCAACTATGTAGTGCATGGATTTATGGCAGCCTGTGTTCTCTCTGACAAAATGTACCTGAAAAGCATGGTTACTTAGTTTTGATATTTAATTTTTTGATGGACTACTAATCATAAATGAAACATAAGAAATGCCATTTTTAAATATGAAATTTGTGTTTATGTGCTATCTAATCTGTGTATATAGTATTTTGTACCAAAGTTAGCCTTCTTCCCAGCCTCGCTTCATCTGCTCTATCTGCATCTTCCAGTTTCCTAATTCCCTTGGAATCCTCCTTCATTATTCCAGATGCACTCTGGGTGCACGGATCACCTAACATTTCCACAGAACCATCCTGTCTGACTCTGGAAGTAGCTTTCTAATTAAAGTTGTTATCTCTCTGTGCCAGATTGCTCCTTGGACCTTGAATGTGTTTGTAGATTGCAAGACAATTTGTATTTGTTTAGATTTCCCAAAGGTTGAGGGAAACAGCATATTGAAATGCAGCCAATATCCACCCCCATGCTTACTTTGTTTTCCTCTATTCTCACAAAACACTAATAGCGATGTCTTTGTGAGCAATTACAAGATGGATGGAAAGAAGTGGAGGAATATGTGTTCTGCACACATTTCACAGTCTTTCTTTTTTTTTTAGATCGACTATGGCCCTGTTTGATTTTGTAATATTAGTTTAATTGTGATAAGATAAAAAAGACATAGTACTTTATGGAAGAATCCATTGAAGGTTCACTTGTAATTTTCAAATAGGAAGAGCATATAAGCATGTAGACCATATCATAGTATCTGAAGACTTTGAAAGCATTCGAAGTAAGTGTTCAAGAAGGT